TAATTCAGAATAATGAAAGGAGTAAGACAGCTGTGTGAATCTATTGTTGTTCAATTTATATATTGCAGCATAGATAATAAAGAAGAATAGGAGGAGTTAGACTAGGTAGAGATGGTCGTTAATATACGTGGATGACTTAGTTTTAGTAGCTTATAATAAGGAGGCGTTACAGGATATGAGCACACATTAAAAAAATTTTTGAAGGGGAGGAAATTAAAGCTGTACACAGAAAAGACGAAAATAATGATGTCTGGAGGGAGGGGGAGAAAAAGGAAAAAGAAATGGAAATGGAGAAATAAGGAATTAGAGGAAGTGCAGAAATTTTAATATTTAAATTTTAATTTAGATAGGAATGGGAATTATAAAAAAAGTATATTAAAGAAATAAGTAGAAAAGAAAAAATGTAACAAGAAAGGGGCTTAGAAGAAAAGCTATGCAGAAATGACTTTAGTAGAAGAGGGATGTTAAATATCTGACACAAAGTGTAATGCGTGCAATTATGGGGCTGGGAGAAAAAAGGCGAACTACAAAAGATGTTAAACTACGTCAGATGGATTTTCAACTTAGATTTCTGCATCCCAAGATATGTAATTATGAGACAGCTGGTAATGGATAAATTCAAAATAGGATGGGGTTTGAAGGCAAGAAAATATGAAGAAAAGATTAAATCTGGAAACACAGATAATGTAGTCAGGGAGTGCTGGGAAGAAAAAAGCTATGATTGGAACGATAGATATGATAGAAATAGAGAGGTGATACGATAAATATGGAGAGAGAGGGTTATTATAATGGATAGGGAATTAAATCATGGGAATGAAAGTTTTGAAAAAAATTTAATAAGTAGGGAAAGGGATTTACAGAAGCAATGGGAAAGGGAAAGAATAGATAGATCAAGATATAATAAAAGATATAAAGAGATAAGTATGGAGACTAGAATATCAAATTATTTGAGAGTGGAGAATATGGAATGGAAAAGAAGAGATGAGATAAGAGCGTTATTTAAATTAAGATGCGGTAATTTAGAAGAGAAAAATAAATACTGACTAGAAATAGAAGAGAGAGGATGTCTTTTCTGTGGTGAAAGCGAGGATAACCTGAAGCATTATGTTAAACAATGTAAGGGAAGAAAGGGAGATAAGTACGGAGAAATATTATGTAGAAATAAAGGTAAATAAGAAATGGGATATGGACAATAATAATAATAGACTGTGATATGACTGTATATAGAGATTATGTATAGGTAAAAGAGAATGTACTACCTTGATCAAAAAGTTCCCGGAATTCATTCAGGAAATTCAAAATTAAACAAGTTTTATTCATCAAAAGTGATATTGTCCCCTTCAAAGTACTCCCCATCGACTGCAACGCACTTATGCCAGCGCTTGATTCAGCTCTCGAAACATTTCTGGAACTCTATTGTCGGTATAGCCATCAGAACCGTCTTCGATTTTTCCATTATCTCCTTTCGCATAAGTTATTAAAAATACCCTGGATATTTCATATTATCATTTCCATACCTTACCGGTTTTACAATCAAATCCAACTTCTGTAATTAAACAATTCAACATATTCCGTATTTTTCTATTAATACGATTTTATTCTATCACTACATGAAGAATTTATTGTCAAATATTTATTTATTAAATAATAAACAAGATTTAAAGGCTCATCTTAACGAAACTTGAAGACATTCAAATTTTAAAATCTTTTTTTGCAAGCATGATCTAATAATGAATTTTCTACTATTGTCTGGAAAGTTCGTGCCGATTTTTGGTAGGTGGCGTAAGGACAGGCCTGAATATATCAGAACGATTGAAAACAAATGACATGCGTACATATCGTAAAAGACGATACTTCAGGCATACTTAAAAAAAAATTTGGTTGCGATACATTAATTTTTGTCAGTTTTATACGCCTTTAAATATGGAAGAAAACAAAGTGCATTTAGGCATTTAATGCTTTTCTTCTACCAGAAAAGCAAAAATGCCATACAAGCGGTAAGATATGCGCTGTTTATGGCAAAGATGCTGAAAGAACTATGCGGAAGTGGTTTGCTAGGTTAAAAGCTAATTTCAACCTTGAAGATCAAGATACATCCGGGTAAGCTCTCTACCACAGATGAAGATCAGATTAAAACACTGATCGAGAATAAATAACCCACGCTATACGACATGTAAATTAGCAGAAATGTTAAATATGTCAAAATTCACAATCCACGAGCATTTTGTGAAACTTGGCTATATAAACTGTTTTGATGTATGGGTTTCCCACGATTTAACAGAGAAAAATCTGATGGATCCCATTTCCATTTGAGACTCGCTCTATAAATGCAATGAAGAGACACCATTTTTGAAGCAAATAGTGACGGGGGAGAAAAATGGATCATTTACAATAATGTTGAGCAAAAAAGATCTTGGGGAAAGCGGAATGAATCACCTTTAAGCACCCCAAAAGCCGGTCTTCATTCAAAGAAGGACATGCTCTGTGTCTGATGGGATTGGAAAGGGATCCTGTATTATGAGCTTTTATCAAACAACGAGACGATAAATTCAGAGAAGTATTGTTCCCAATTACGAATTGAAGACAGCAGTTGATAAACAAAATTTTTCAAATAACCATACGTGAAGTGCTGCGACTTTCCTTAAAGGTTAAAGAGTATGAAACCAAAATGAAAAAAAAGATTCGATTATATCAAGAATTTTTCGCTAATCTTAATTGATCAATATTTTTCATTGGTCAATATTTTTCGGTCAAATTAAAAAATATTTCTCCTTTTCTGACAAATTTATAATATTTTTTTGAGTTATAATAGCGAATCAGAAGGTCATCATGTTTCATCAGGACAATGCGTGGCCTCATGTGTTTTTGATAACTCGACAAAAGTTGTTGGAGCTCGGTTGGGATATTCTACCCCATCCACCATATTCACCAGACTTCGCGCCCTCTGATTTCCACCTATTTCGATCATTACAAAATACCCTTAATGGAAAAATTGGCTTCAACTTTTTCGAGATAAAAAATCATTTAGAAAAGTTTTTCGCTGAAAAACCTGAGAGATTCTGGACGGAATTTTCAAGTTGCCTGAAAGATGGAGAAAGGTTGTAGAACAGAATGGCACCTATATAATTTAATAAATGTATACTATTGGAAGTACAAATAAATTTCCGCCGTTTTTATCAAAAATTAAGCATTTATTGTGAAAGAACGGTACATAATGTTTTATTCAAAGTAATGGCCATCGCTAGCCACTACTTTTTCCCATCTTTCTGTTAGCATGTGGATACCGCGTCGGAAGAACGCTTCATCTTTTGAGTCTATCCAATCGATACAATTTTGGTATCTTCATATGATGTGAAGTGCTGCTCAGACAGGCCATGCGTCATCGATCGGAATAAATAGTAATCGGAAGGAGCAATGTCAGGAGAATAAGGCGGGTGAGGTAGAACTTTCCATTTGAATGTTTCTAAGTAGGTTTTGACCGGCGCCGCAACATGTGGTCGAGCATTATCATGCAGAAGAATTTTGTCATGCCTGGAGTAGTGGGCGCGTTTTTCCTCGGCTCAATCTTATCAATTGTGTTCAGTAGAGAGCCCCAGTAATGGTCTCGTTCGGTTTGAGCAACTCATAATATATCATCAAGCTGATCCCACCAAATACACAACAGTTTTTTTCCAATATTCGGCTTGGCTGTCGATGTTGAAGCATGGCCAGGTGGTGGAAATCCCCATGATTTCCTCTTCTTTGAATTATCGTAGTGGATCCATTTTTCATCACCAGTGACTATACGATGCAAAAAACCCTTTCGTTTATGCCTGGCAAACAGCATTTCACATGTGAAGAATCGGCGTTCAACGTTTCTCGACTTCAGTTCATATGGAACCCAATTTCCTTGCTTTTGAATCATTCCCAATGATTCCAAACGATATGAAATTGTTTGTTGAGTCACTCCTAATGTAAGTGCAAGTTCTTTTTGCGTTTGGCACGAATCTTCATCCAATAATGCTTCCAATTCCGCGTCTTCGTACACTTTCGGCCTTTCGCTATGTTCTTTATCTTCGACGTCAAATTCACCGTTCTTAAATTTTTTAAACCACTCATGACAACTTCTCTCACTTAAGGCAGCATCACCATATGCTTCTACAAGCAATCTATGAGCCTCAGCTGCAGATTTCTTCAAATTAAAGAAGTAAATCAAAAATTCCCGCAAATAACGCTTATTCGGCTCAAAATTCGACATTTTCGTACAAAAAAAAATATATGATGCTGATACAAAATCGCTAATATTTCAAGGTTATGGTGTTGCCGGATGTCCAATTTTACGATATGTCGTTTTACATCAATTTTAACTATAGTTTATTAGTGGCGCCATCTTTTGCAAACGGCGGAAACTTATTTGTACTCCCAATAAAATTTAAATCTTCTGCGTTTCAATTTTCCTTCAAAATCAGCACGAACTTTCCGGACAACCGAATAAATAGTTTTCAATCCAAGAGCAATAAATTCATGGTGCAACTAACAGATAGCGTTTATTAATTTAGCGGAAACGCTGCTATCTCATGTTAAGAAGCACCCATCTCATAATAGAGAGCTTTCTTCTTTATATACGTATAAATATATTCATTATATACGTATAAATATATATATAATTATATATA